TTGAGAAGCAGAGGTGAGTTGATCTCTGTCAATTCAAAGCCTGACAGAGCTACATACATAATAAAATCCTGTGGGGGTGGGCACAGCATCTAGCAATTCAAAGCCTGACAGAGCTACATACATAATAAAATCCTGTGGGGGTGGGCACAGCATCTAGCAACCTGGGGGGGGGATGGGCACAGCATCCAGCATGACGGGGGGAGGGTGGATGGGTACAGCATTCAGCATGACCTGGGGGGGATGGGCACAGCGTCCAGCATGACCTGGGGGGGGGGACACTGGGCACAGCATCCAGCATGACAGGGGTGGGGGGTTGGGGGAATGAGGCACGTCAACCTTGATAAAACGTGCCCAGGGTGGCTGGTCCAGACAGGGTTCCTTCTTGAGCAGTGTGGCTCTCAGGCTTTGACACCTGTCCCAGTGTGGAGTAGGGGCACAGTGAGATGTAAGGCCAGGTCAGTGGGCTTCATGGCAGGGGCCGAACCACCATCAGCATCCACCACACCTCTCAACACACTGTTGTCATTAAGCACCAGGGCCCTGCACACAGACACCCAGCACAGCTTCCACTCCAGACCCTGTTCATTGAACTAGAACTAGATAATGCACTTCTCGGGGGTCTTGGTGGGCACTAGGGTGGGAATATGGGCAGCACCGGGGGCAAGGGAACGTCAAGGAGCGTCAACTCTGTCACCATTCAGTAAGCACACCTCCTCTATCTCTCCAGGTTATGATGACTGAACGATCAGGACAAAGGACACGTGTCTCCGTGTGGATGGCACACCCATGGCAGCCTTAGCCTTATTGTGGTTCTGTTATCCAGCTGGTTGCAAGTGCGAAAGTGCTGAGTCATCGGTTCTGGGTTCAATCCCTGACTTGTTGGTTCAATGTGCTGGTCTCCTCTGGGCACCACAGGAGGCCCAGAGTCTGAGTCTTGGAGGACTGTCATGGAGAGTCACACAGTGCCTGAAAAGCACTGGGCAGGTTCCTAATTCAGTTATCATGACAGTGCGTCAACATACCTACAAAAAGCACCTTGTATTTTGTGGTGCTGGGAGCCCAACCCAGGGCTTCATGCAGCTGAAGAACGCACTCGGTCTACCACTCAGGCAGCCCAATGCTGCTTTTGTTAGGATTTTTACAAAGAAGAGCCATGCTGGTTCCTGTGAGCAGTTGTCCTCAAGATCTGTCACTTACCAAGGAAGGGCCATCTTACCACCCATCTCTTCTAAATGTGGACAAGCAAGAGACAGGGTGGCCCCTCCAGAGCATCTGTGTGCACTGGCTTTGGATCATCTCACCTTCCCTGTCACGTCCAGTGTTTGCCTGTTGCCCTGAAATTCAGAAAACAATCAACCACCAGCTGGCGGGGGCACAAGAGCCATACCCCAGCAGGGGAGGGGAGGCGAGTTCTGAATTTTCCAGAAGCCTCCGGAGGGGCTGTGACCTTACAGATATCTTGAGCAAAGGGTTTAAACAGCCCTCCTTCTTGCCCCCCAAACACAATCTGTGCTTCATTAGTGTAAAATAGCTCTTAATTTCTCAGATTATCAACTAATAACTTTCAAGTATGTTCTTTTGTGACACATCTACCAGTTATTTTTAATATACGGTGAGAAAATAATCTGTTGTTTTTTTGATAAAGCCCAATAAACACAGATGTACTTGTCAGTTAACATTTAACTAGGTCAGTAGACAAATAATGGGCTTATTATTTAAAAATGTCAGCCTGTCGGGATCTTTGGACTCTAAATGAGAGCCAATGGAGGGTATGTCACCAAAGTGGACATGAAGGTCAACTGAGGGATAGGGCCACAGCCAGCCACCCAAAACGGTACGTTTTCTCACATCCCATCTCTGGAAAGTATTCCAAGTGCTGCTGGGAAAATGACCCTGCCTGTTAAGATGTACTTGATAGATGAAAGGGCTAAACCTTGATTGGTAAACAGACCTAGAGATGATCCTTGAAGTCAAAGAAATAACCATAGAAAATCAGAGCTTCTAGGTTTTGGTTTTTGTTTCCAGACAGGGTTTCTCTGTGCAGCCCTGGCTGTCCTGGAACTTGCTCAGTAGACCAGGCTGGCCTTGAACTACTCACAGAGATCTACCTGCCTCTGCCTCCCAAGTGCTAGGATTAAACACTTCTAGCTTTTTAAAAAAGGGATTTATTGTGGGCTAGAGAGATGGCTCAGGGGTGAAGGTCACTTGCTGCTCTTGCAGAGGACCTGGGTTCAATTCCAGGCACCCAAACTGAGTGGGCTCACAACTGCCTGCAAATCCAGCTTCAGGGAGATCCAATGTCTCCACAGGCACTGACACTTACTTGTGCATAGCCCTCACCCATGCACACACTCACACACATGCACACACTCACATGCATGCACATGCTCATATGCATGCACACACAATCAGAAATAAATCTTTTTTTTTTTTTTAAAGACTAGGCCATTTTTTTTAAAGATTTATTTTGTGTACATTATTCTGTCTGCATATATTCCTGCATTCCAGAAGAGGGTACCAGATCTCATTAGAGATGGTTGTGAGCCACTATGTGGTTGCTGGGAATTGAACTCAGGACTCCGGAAGAGCTGCTGGTGTTCTTAACCTCTGAGCCATCTCTCCAGCCCCAGAAATAAATCTTAAATAAATATATATACACCTTATTGGCCCTGACATCCCATCACTTGGGAGGCAGAGGCAGGTAAATCTCTCTTGAGTTGGGGGGGTAGTCTGGTCTTCATAGATTTTAGGACAGCTGGGCTACACAGTGATACCTTGTCTAAAAACATATTATGCAGTGTCTGTGTGCATGTATATGCAGGTGTCCACAGTGGCCAGAAGGCGGCACTGGACCCCTGGAGCTGGAATTAAAGGCAGCTGTGAGCCACCCAGTGTCGGTGCTGGGAACCAAACTCGGGTTTTTCTGGAAGAACAGCAAGCATGCTGCCTCTCCAGCACCCTTTTGTTTGCTTGAGACAGTCTCAAAAGCTTGCTTCTCCTGCCTCTACTTCTCAAGTATTAGGAGTCCAAGCATGCTCTACACACAGTCATTGGGTGACATGTCTTTCACAGGTTTATCCCCTCAGCACCAGCAGGTCTCACGCTGAGACAAGTGAAATGCTTTTGTTGGCTTCGGCCTCTTGGAGGACAACTGTGCCTGACGCCCTTAGTCCCTTTCTGTGCCAACGGCTGGACTCGGGAGTGTCAGCAAAAGAAAACCCAGGCAAGGCAAAAACACCAAGAACCAGCACTGTACTCCTGCTCCTTCCCCATCTCAAGTCACTACAGGACTCTGCTTCAGGCTAACCACCTGTCAGGAAATCAAATGGTAACCAACCAGTGAGTGCAGCCTGGCCTACAGATCCACACCCTTTCCCATTCCCATTATCATTTCCAGCCCAGTGAGAACACAAGTGACATTTTTAGCATGCTACGGACAGAACATGGTCCTGGTATCTCAGAGGGGCTAAGAAAACAAGCAAGGTCACTCCACTGGTCAAGGTTTCAGGCTGGAGATCAAGAGCTCAGCAGCTTTCTCAGTAAACAAGTATGGACACCAGACAGGATCCCGCCAAGGGCCAGGTGTGCACACCAGACAAGACTCCCAGAGAACCAAGTGTTGTGGGTATTTGTTCCACCAATAGCGTTGGAGTACCAGCCTTAGGGAATGGCCTCTTGGAGGGAAAACTGAGAAGAGAGCATGTGTTGATCGGACCGCTGGTTCCATTCACCCCTGGGCAGAACAGAAGACCACAGTGGCTGTTTACTTTGTCCTGGATCCGTGAGTGCATTTTCTCCCCATTGTATATCTTAATAAATCCTCGATGTCCTTTTAGCAGACTTTCGTGGATTTGCTAACAGCCAGGCTCCTCAGCTGGTTAGCTGCAACCTCCTCAGTGGTTGAGGTAGTGAAGGAGCAGCTGGCCCACGGGCAGCAGGGGGGACCTTGGCTGCCACCCTAATCAGGACAGACAGCAAGTGTTGGCCAGGTGGTGGTCAGCCCACTGTGTCTCTCTTGAGTTTTGAGAATCACGTCTGTGCACTCTGAGAGAGCAGAGCAGCCAGGACGAAGCCATGAGCGTAAGGGAAGAGCAGGGATGTGCAGGCTGCATGTTTGTTGCAGGACAGGAGGGCCACTGCAGCCCTCAGCCAGCACCAAGGACTCAGCCCTTGGATCCCCCTACAGAAGACACATAGCTAAGCCAAGCAGAGCCTCCGGATGGGCTGACCCCTCACCGCCCGTTCTGCGACCACGTCACCTGATCCCTTGACAAAATCAGCATAGACATTTTACTCTGAAATCTAACACGCAGAGATCCGTTTTGAAAAGCTGGGCAAGGGGCAAGAGGCAGATTCTCAAATCATCTTCCATTGACTTTATTGACATTGGGGAGTTCCACTCAGAATGCCCATCCCAGGTCCTCAGGTGGCAAAGGACATGTGTCTGTTAGTATGTACATAGTTACTCAGCAACTGTATTTGGTATAACTTCACATTTTTGGTATACAGAAATAGTTTTATTTTCTTAATGCAGCACAGTAGACGTACAATCAATTATTCCCTAGAGTGTGCAATATAAATTATTCACATTAAAAAATTAACAACCGAAAGCCTGATATATGGGAAATATTAAAAACATACACCTAATTTTAATGTGTTTTGATCACAGACACTGCTAGCTGTATAAATCTGAATAAATACGACATGGCGCACAGTGGCTTGAGCAGGGCCAGCTCCAGGCGTAGTGAGAACCCACTCTCCACTTTGGTCACTGAGATTCCCCGTGCCAGGCACGGAGCCCATCTGAAAGAGCTTCCAGCACTACAGGGCGTCTCGGGCTTTTCCAGCACTACAGGGCGTCACGGCTTTTCCTCCTATTCTCCTTTATAGCGAGGGGGCCTTTTCTCCTTGAAAGCAAGAAGACCTTCCAGTCTGTCTTTCGTTGAGATGGTCTAGGAAAGACAAAACATGAAACACTGAAATCTACACACACAACAGCACGCCAAGCATTAACTACGAAAGGCTCCAGCAAGTGCCGGGCAGCCATTGTCCTTTGAACCAATTTCCAAAGTGTGTGGCCGAACTATTTTTAATCCAAGCACTTTTTCTCCGTTTCCAATACACTTAAAAAGTGAGACTTTTTATTTTCAGAGGTGAAACAAATGAAAAGCTCAGCATGTGGAGAGCCTGTGCTCCCTCGAGTCCCCGTGGCCACAGCCCGCATCCAAACACAAAGCAGCCGCCTCCCCAAGAGTCTGTGCGCTCGAGCGTTCTGGGAGTTTGGACAGAGGCATGACGTCATCTGCTCATCACCACAGTGTACGCAGCCGGCGTGGCTGCCCCAGACATTCTTTGTTCTCCACATACTCATCCCCAACCTGTCAAACACTTCCTCCAGAATGTCACTGACTGTCTGGAATCACTGAGTACCCAGTACTTTCAGATTGGATCCTTTCCCCAAGCACCATGAATTCAAGTTTCCATTCCCTCATTGACAGGTCCTAATTTCTCATCACTGCACGAGGTCCAGTGCTGTGGGATGTTAATGTATGTCCTGTGGGAGCCCTTCTTGAGTTCCTTGTGGCGTTACCCAGCAGGTTTGCATAGAGGATGATTAGGACCATGGGCCTGAGTGCAGGTGTCTGAGATGGTCTGCACTTGGCTGTACTGGGGGAT